TTTTTAGTTTTTCATATTACCCCAACATTTCGCTTTCCGATACTGAAAACCGCACCTTTTTAGCTGCTTCTTAGAAAAAGTTATCAAAGAAATGGCCGTGCTTCTTCTTTTTTGAAATGGATAGTAGTTAGCATAGAACCAAGTCAAACCAAGTCAAAAATACCATAAAAAAAAAAAGAAAAGCGTCCGGTTTTTTCTGGCTCAACCGTTATTAATAGCATTGTGACTGATGCAGTGAGAAAGGGCTATTTTGTGAGAATTCATATATTTATTAAGTTTATTTTTTTAGCAAGCTTCATTTTTTTTATTTTTAATATTATAATGTTTGACAGACAGAAAGAGAAAAGAAATCTGAATGATGATATTTTGGAAAAACAGAAGAGGGAAAAATTAATTTCTTTTTATAACCAGAAAATAAGATATGTTATCTCTTATTAGAAAATTCTGAAGTATCAAAAAATAGAAAGAAAAAATATTAGATTGAAACACAAAACTACGTAGACGATGTTCACTTTAAACAAATTCATTTAAAAAAAAATTCTTTTAACAGTTTCACACTTTTTAAAGACATCAACATACATCAAACTTTAAAAAATTAGTGTGTCTTTCGGTAACTCTACAATTTAAACAACAAAAGGTAAGCTTTTTCAAAGATTTCTCTATCTAAAGACTCGAATAAATCACAGCAAATGAGTATTTTGATTTCTTGTATTGACCCTGCGTTTTTGAAACATAACTGAGAGAGGTGAAGAATTCTATTCATCAGTGGTAAAAGTGAGCCCTTTTTCTGGGCTTATTTTTATTTGAAAGACAACTTTATCGAGATACTTTCTTTAAACGCATGGTAATCTTTGAAAAATAAAGTTACGGTGTATAATATCATATAAGCAAGAGAAAATAATGTATATAGCGATATTCAAGTTTTTTTTAGAGAAAAATGCATCCCTTTAAAATATAGACAACTAAGAGATAGAAGTCCAGATTTTATCTTGTTGTGAGCCCTATACGAGTATGTAAAACATAAGATTATTCAACTTTTTCAATAATATACAGAAAACGTTCTTAAAAATTTCGTGGAAATAAGGTATGTTTTTATTCGAATTGGTCAGTTTCTGTTTAGCGTATTTAACGTCCTTACAATGTTATACTATGGAAAACACACGGATCCACATCAACCTAGAGCGTCTCCTCTCGAAGCCTGTTTTAGTTTTTGTGGATTGTCAATAGCTATTGCTTTATGTGGTGGACTAGCTGGACTCATATATGGTATTGTGAAACCAAATTCAACAGCTTTAATCGCTGGTGGTGTTGTCTTTGGAGTATCCATAGCTCTGACAGTATTGTTAGTCCTAATATGTGTATTTTGTATAAAAAAAGATCAAAACCCAGATAAACGTTTATCATCATCACGCGTTCATCATTTACGATCGCAACATTCGCATGGCCATCGTCAACAACGCCAATCTAGACCGCGACCATCACGACAAGGGCGTCCGTCTCGTCAGCCACGTGAAAATGTTTCTGTTTCGACACCAGGGGATGCATTAACAATCGATCAGTTTGGTTTTGATCTTCATTCAACTACTGGATTGGCAAGTACTCATGCATCTCTTCATGACAGCAATCATTATCAACGATCACAATTTAAAACGACCAATTTTGTTAATCTTAATCAAAGTTTATCATCAACGCAAGAAAATCATATACTTTATCCACAATTCGACGATAAATCACAAATAAGTTTACCTACACAACGGTACTAAAAACACTCAGAGGTGTAGAATCTGTCTGTAAGAACGAAAAACTTCTCCCGCGATGGAAAAATTTCTAAAACATTCCTCAGTATTGTATAAATCTTTTCTTCAACAAAATGCTAATTTTTTAAAGCGTTTCTGCAAAGTTTCTTCACATTATAATACTTTTCTTCGATGGACGTCGGCAAGCGAGTATATTCTACACCTGCGGAAACACCTAGCTTCTTTTATGACAATTTTCATCTTCTCTAAACAAATATACTTTCGTTGTGTTTAACACTTTTACGAAAATGAGCAGGTCTCATTTTAACTTTGATGTTACTTTACTCTTTTTGTCTTCGTTGATTATTGTATATATAGTATTTGGGAAAAAGTTTGAAAACTTTGCTAAATTTCTTATATAAACTAAGTATCGATAAAAAATCATTTTTATATTCTGAACCAAATCTTAGCTCGCAAAAACTGATCATTGAGTTGTTTGTTGTTGTATCAGAAATGTGCATGGAACGATAAAAAAGCGTCAATAATGTTTTGAATGTATCGAATGTATCGATTTTATTTTGAATAGTGTATAGATGAGTGTCAGTATTTTTAATTATTTAGGCCCAAAAAGACAAGATAATTGTGATATTATTTTTTTTCTCAATAGTTTTCTCTTTTTATTTGCTCAACGTCTTTTAAAAATGTAATAATATAGTTTAAAATCATTACGGTTCAATTACTTCAAACTTATTCCTTTGTTTTTTCCGATAAACCATTCTGAAATTATTAGATAATAATTAAATATAATATTAGAATCATAGAACCACACAGCAAATAAAAGACCAAGATTTCTAATCAAAGTAATCAAAACAAGAACAGCGTGAATATGTGAAGTGAGTCTAATCAGCATATTATTAATTATTCATTAGAAGAAAAAATTGTTTGACTTGAATATCTAAACGGTGTTTCTTTCATATTTCAAATGAATTATTTATCATTAAATTTAATAAATAATAGTTATTGCGGTTCACCGTCAATATCACCATCGTCAAGAATAACACAATCTTTTATTCAAATAACATGTCACTTATTGATGATGAATTAAATGAACGTTGAATTTTAAAAATGTTATCAAGTACAGGATCAGTATCACGAAAAATATCGTGATACGACAGATGGTTTATCTCTAGTTTGATATAAACAACAAACAATGGTGAGTAATGATCATCATCCAAAAGCCAGACGAGGCCGAATAATTTAAAAAAATTGAGTTTCAACTATGTTTCATCTACTCTTAACAAATTATTATCAAAGGATTTTTACGACCCTTTTACTGAGACATTTTTCTAGTATTACTCCTCCAGAAATCACATTTATGGTCACACCTCAGCAGTGCATACGATCAGGGATGATGGGAAGGAGTGGGATGGGTGGGACCGGTGCTCCTCCTATTACATTTTATTTGTAATAATACCCCTTAGCTAGGGATATGAAGGTCGACCTTGCCCTGATCTGAAGGTCAGAGCAGAACTAGTTCATAAAATGTATAGGGCAGGACAGGTCCAGATCATTCAAATTTTTATAATTTTGACAACATGAAAACGCAATACTGTACACTTCTGAGTCTTGCTGTTAATTAACCGAGTCGTTACACACTCTTGCACAGAATAAAAACCAGATTAACAAAAGCTTTTTCTAATGCAGTGCGGAGCAATACCATATTTTAGTAATCAACTGTGTCGTATGTCTTTCCTTTCTAGATTGAAAAAATGTCATTTTCTGTAACGATTTTCTCGGAAACTAGAAGAGGTACAGTAAAACTTTAAACACGAATAGGGAACTGTGTGTCTGAATTAATAAATAAGCTATTTTCAGTCTTTGCAGATGATCCAGTGGAGAGTTAGGACACTCGAACGTCTGGGATTTGTGGATTTTTTTTTTGAAAAACATCGATAATTAATCTGAGTCATTCATGTGCACGTGTATTTATAAGAGAGTACGTTCCCATACACTATGTGATTCATATCACGATAATGTTAATGCGGTGTTGCTTCGCACCGCATTTGCAACTCTCGCTGGTGTGATTGCCGACTAGTTACGATGGAAAGCATGCATGATCTTTGGTGGTTTATTTTTTTACTGTTTGAAAACATTGCTTTGGCTGTGCGAGAATGATTACATTGTTTAATTGATTGATAGTAACGTGTTCAGGTCTTGGTAAGGGGTGCGTATATAGAATAAAATCCAGTCTTCACTACGCTGAAATTTGAAACTAGAAGAGGTACAGTAAATTTGAAGTTAAATAACGCATAAATTTTTTCTTGAAAATTTTTTTACACACGACGTTTTTCGCATTTAACTGTTACAATAAAGAAAAATGTTTCTCGTGGCCGTTATATGCTTCCTTTATTTTATTCTTTGAAATAGAATTTTACAGCATTATTTGCAGACAAATAATAGAATTAGTTTATCAGATGTACACCGAAATGATATCTCACGGGGTTGGTATATCCTCGGTTTGCCCACTTCCTGAAGACGGGTCTGTTCTTTATTGTATATATTTTGCTTTACCTGGTTACTGATTATATGCCTGTTACATTTATTTCCAAGAAAAAGATTTTCCTTGGTTTTACTCTTACTACAAAAACTAGCACAGAAAAGAGTTAACTCAGATTAACAAAACTGAGATAAGTCCAAATTTTAGAGCACAATCTGAGTGCAGTTTTACAGATGATTCTTGCTGCATATCTGCGCTAAAACCACTTTGACCACTTTGCGTTTTAGAACAAAGTAGAAAGTACCATTTTGATTGCAAATCACATTGGAAATGCTGTTTCACTCCCGACTTCGTTTCTATTTCTGTGATACTTCATGCGGATTTTCTCAGTCTGAAAGAGCCAGTAATACTTGTTGAATAATTAATTACAAGAGTGCAGTATTAAAAGAAAGATGTTTTAAACAACTAAACAAGATATTCAGCAAATCGTCTTTAGAAAAAGCTTGCTTACACTCTATGTTTTAAATTTTCTTTGTTTCTACGGTTCAAATTAAACTATACTCTGATCCATGATTATTAGCTCAGTCAACAAGTGTGATTTGCATCCATTTAGATAGTTTCCTGAACTGCATATTTCGATACTTTTCTATAGGATGAATCGAACATTTTAACCCTTTACTCCCTGGTGCTAATTCAGCAGATGTGGTGTTGAGTTGACCACAGGAATAGCTTATGTGGGTGCTCAATATGACAATGGTATGGTTAAAGTTGAGTGAAGTTCTTTCACTGCGGAGGAGCAGAATGGATCATTTACGACCCATTCGAGTTGAGTGGCATGAAAATTTAATGTTTTACTTATTTGGTTTTTGTTGCGTTTTTTTGCAATTGTGTGTTTACTTGGTCTGTATTAAAGTTCTTCCTATCATGAAAGTTTTGAAAAATGATTCATGATATGCTTAATTTTATTACAAACACCAGAGATCTTTACTGTTGAAAATATCGAACATTGTATTTTGAGGAAGGGTTTAAGATAACTTAAATTTATTTTCAAAATTCTAGATAGAGTCAAAAATCCGTAAACATTACAGTTATAGTTCTTCAGTTAAAACCTGAAAATGGTGCATGCCTACGGTCTAGAAATCTCGCAAATGAATGAAAAAATAAGTCTTTGACACTATTGGGACCATAAGCTCTTCTAATATAAACTCCGTGTGTTCTTAAGTCTAGATCTAACGAAAAGAATGATAATGTAGCTTATATCAATAAACAAAATAGCTGCAGAAAAATACATTTTTCATGTCACTCATCCCGAATGGGTCAAAAATGACCCATGTTGTCCTGAAGGATATTGTTCTCACATCTCTAATCAAGAAATCTTTAAACGCTTTCCTGCAAATAGATGACGCCCATAGCAGTATATATCAACAGCCCGAATACAAAAAAATAATCGACCTGTGCAAGTGAAAAAAATCTTAAAAAAAAGTCAGATTTTTTCACTTTTTTGAAAATTCACCGTTTTCAGACTCAAATATCTTAGCCAAAAAGTGATGAAAAAAAGTTATTTTTTACAAATCTATAGCTTATTGAATTCTCTACACAATATTCATAAAGCTTCTTGATCCGATGCTTTGTTATTCCACTACATCATTTCTACGAATGGGTCGAAAATGACCCAAGCGGGGATACAGGGTTAATAATCAAATATAGTCGATTGTCTAATAAACGTTTGCTAGAACGTCATTATAAAGAGATTTTTATTACCACTTTGTGCTTTTAAATAAAAGTTTATAAATCATGTAAAATCTAAATGGCTACTATATTACTAGCCATTTCACAAAACAACGGTGTATTCGGTTATTTACTGAATAACTATTTAACGAAAATAGATATAGACTTGCGGTTTGTGTCATTCGAATTCTATGACTGATGCGTGGGTAAGAGAGATGACATTAAAAATGAATGAAACATATGTTATCCATCACACTGAATCTTGTGCCAATGTTTAGTTTCATAAAAAAATTACTTTAGACGAAATAACCCATTTGCCTGGAAAATCTTTAAAATTCAAGATATCATCTATGAGTGTAGTGTGTTACAACTTTTATGACGGTGTAATGCAGTAAAAATAAAGTATAGGATAAAGTGCACGGGAAGCGATAGGTGGAGATATGTGCTCATTCTTTTATTTTCCTATAAATACATTTTGTACAAACATTGAAAAAAACACACGCAAAATAAAAATTGGCCTACATACACAAAACACTATCACATTGGCGGTCCATGTCCACTTTTAGCTATTTGTTCTTTCAATAACATGATACTCGTACGTTGATCGGGCGGCAATTGAGCAATTTGTGCATCACTCAATTGTAATACTTGCATGAGAAGATGTGCCTTTTCGTGATCTGTTCGAGACATGTTAGAAACGCTACCACCAGGAGAGACGTGTGATTGTGGTAAGGGAGGTGGTGGTATTGGAATATTAACAGGCGATTGGTATCCTATAGGTGGAATCGGTGGTTGATTGAATGTGAATGGTGGCGGTGGCGGTAATGGAGGTGGAATCACGGGCGGAGGCGTTGTGAAGGGTGTACGAGATGTTGATTGTGATAAAGTTGGATTTGGAACAGGTAAAGAAGGACGGATATGCATCGATTGTAAAGTGTTAGGAACCAAAAGTCCAATAGGCGTTATTGATTGATTTGGAATAATTGGTAATATTTGCGGTACATCTGGTCGTTTGTGAAGCATATTAATCGCTTCGCTTGGTTGTATCAAGCCCATGATAACCATTGCTTGCAACATCGCATATGTTAATTGTGGATTTTGTATGAGAATATTTCGTGCGTCGCTCGAATATTCTTTAATTATTATTTGCATATGTTTCATTAAATCAACAACTTGTTCGGGAGGTAAATTAGCTAAATAACAAAAACAAAGATCTTACGATTAGCAAACAAAATAAAAAACAACTTTTCAACTCAGATAGCATTACCTATTGTGCGTGCAATAACTTCTGGAACTTTTTCCGGTGATACGTTTGCTCCATAAGCACTCTCAAATGGTGGACCGCCTGTTTGTTGATGTAAAAGCCTCAATTCATCGGCTTGAGATGATGCTTTATCAACGCGTAATGTTCGTCCACCAAACTCGAAACCATTCAGATTTCTGATTGCACTTTGAGCCATATCAATATCTAGCAAATAAAATGAGAAAAAGAGCATTATTTTAGCTTAATAGGTATAATAAAATTTCTTCTAAAAATAAAATAATGTTGAAGATTCATTTAGAATCAACAACAGCGATACAATAGTTGGAAATAGAATTTTACCTTGATACTCAGCGAATCCATAACCTTTTGGATTTCCTGTTTCACGATCATATACAATTCGAAAACTTAATACCGGTCCAATGACAGAAAATATTTCTTTCATTTGATCTTCGGTTGTACCATGAGGAATATTTCCAACAAAGACAGATCTCGCCTGTTTTTCTTCAACAGACATTTGATAGAAAAATTATCTAAAAAATATCATAAAGTATTAAATGTCAGTTTATGTCATTTCTGAACCGTTTTACAATTTAACTCTTTCTGTGGGACTCTAGGTTGAGTTTTACAGGAACTAATGGTTTAACGCTTTTTCTCTTTCGAATTTTAACAAAACGATAGTTAGTTAGTTAGTACATTTCTACGATGAAAACTCCATTATTCACAGTAGTTCAACTAGATTTTCTTCTTCGCGATAATACTTTATAGTTTTGGAGGGTCAACCGATTTCAAAAAGTTCTTCACATTCGTTTTCCTCTGTCGATAATAAGAAACTGTTAAGTTTTCTTTTGTTTTCACTTGTTTATTTTATGAGCTAGCAGCAAAAAACCACAACTGATTTTAGAATGAGCAGATCTTCGGATCGGTGGGCTATTACTGCTTTCATACTAGATGCATACTGATTATTCGACATTTCTCTGTACGCCTGTAATGCGAGATCATAAATACAATGTAAAATCGATTTGAATTGATCTAATCCAAGTGAATTAAATGGGTGGTAACAAGAGTGATGGCTCAAAATGCACACAAAGGACATCATATAATCATAATTCTAAAAGAAATCGATGCTTGCCTGTATTTATTATATACAGGCAATTTATATATATTTTATTATCCTAGATGACTTATAATCGTGCTGAAACTCGAAGTGTTGACTCATCGTAAATTTTATTGGCTCTTATGCACGATTCACTAGTAGCTTTTCTTCCTTTCTCTCATCATGACATTATGAGAACAGAAAGTGCACAGATGGATTAGTTTTCTTTATTGGTAACTACGTACTTATTTCATGGACAACATTCTCGTGTTCCTTTTTTATCATCTCGTTTAGTTATACATTCGACAACGAAGAAGGAATAAGAGATTTAGGGGATTTCCAGAGGAGTATACATTTCTCACAGTATATCACACGTTTTACTCCATCTCAACTCATTTCTAACTCGTTCCTCATTTGTCTGTTATTTCTTATAACACTATCGTCGCTCCCAGTATTTTCTTTAACCATTAAGTAGCCCGAAATCATCGGGTTAATCTAGAAAAATATTGCACCATACCGTGTGCTAAAAATCTTTTTTAAAAAAGCTTTAGCTAGAATATTATCAAAAACCTCATTATGTCTGTGCGCAATATACCCTCCTCTCTAGTTGCTCCATTATATTCAGCTTTCTATTGATTAGCGCAGCGTGTAGAGGCGAAGCGGATATCCACGCTAAAAATCTGAAATCCACTTTGTTTTTGTTGACGACAAATATTTGTGAAATCTGTGCAAACGTGAATAACAGTACTTTTAACAAGAGATAATGGCAGGACTTTTTTTAATAACATTTGCAAATTTATACAATACCAGTAATTAAACTAATTTAATTATTGATGCTGTATACATTTACACATGTCAACAGTAGTTTTCTTTCCCATATGTAGAATCGTGACTGTGTGTACAGTTGTTCCTTTGACTGTAGGTTAAGAACCATAAAACGGAAAATGTCTGTCTGTTCGTCACAAGATGGTGGATGAGCAGGAATAAAAAAAACAAATTCTTCAGACAAAACCCTCTTGATATCAGTCTAGAATGGTACGGGAGAGAGTTTACTCTTAATTCAGGAGATTCTGGTTTGTGGACCCTCCAGAGAACTCTTAGGTTTTCTACCGGTTTCTGAGTTGGTTCCATTCAGATAGTCGGTTTCTAGAGGGTTTTCGGAAAACTCTAAGAAAGGTCTAAGAGTTATAGTCAAGAGATTTAGCGAGTTCCAGAAGCGTTATTTGTTTACTCTAGTATTTCTCGTATTTTTTTATTTCGATCCACCAGATTTGCATATATTTTCTCTTGCTTAAGAACGAAATTATTTAACTCTCGCTTTTTTCTGCTCAATTCAAACCGGAAAAATGAGAAAGGGGATACTTTAATTCTTCGAACTTAAAGTATTAGAACTGGATTGAGATAAACAAGGAACAAAAGCTGGTAGCAAATCACTACAATACACGTAATTTGCGTTGATTGTAGTGATTTTCTTCCAGCGTTTGTTCCTAGCTTTTCTCAATCCTAGAACTGTGGTTAAGAGTCAATCAATTCTAACCAGTATAGAGGAAAACGTTTGCTGTATCCATTGTGTGCGATCAGAACAAAGTAGATAAATCCTCTTTGATATTTTCACAAATATGGATTATCCTACTCTGGCACAAAATCTGATTAGAAATGCTGATTGTACGTCGTCTCTCAAGGTTTTTCTTGAGCTATCTTTTTGCATCCCTGTTTTGATAAATTTTGTAAGACAAACGCATGTACAGAAATTTGCTTATTCAAATGAACGTGAAATCAGTTAGAAGCAAAACATATTTATTACTTCCGGTTTATTTGAAATTATTTTGCTCAAAAAAATCATCTGTTTTACTTTATTGAGTGATTTGTTTTTTCTCTAAAAAGAAAAGCACAATGATAGCTGGCCGACAGAGGACTAAGTTTGCTCAACTAACAAAGTCAGTCATTTTCAAATAACAAGTATGGCTTTCATTTTCTCATTGGTGCTGGTTCTCTTGGATAATTTAATCTCACAAAACGTTTAGATTCTTACCCTCGTCCTCGTTTATCAGTGACCATGTATGAAATTTTAGTTTTTTACACCCAAGTTGTGCATCGTCTATATGTTTAATTGCAGTGCATTGGATTTTTCTCAATCATTTGATTACACGGTTCTACAACGAAATTGAATATCTCATGTAAAGGTAAGAATTTTGATAACAATTCAATTTCAGCTGCTCTGATAAAATTCGTTGATATATATAGATTGTTACCGTGAAGCTATTCGAAATGCTGAATTAAACAGCAACAATTAAATGTCTAACGAACAAATATGAGCTACAATCCAATTTATTTCACAAGATAAATAATCAAACGTTTCTGTGTATAGAATACACGCTCCAGTAGCTAGAGTGTGCTTAAATTGATCTCTCAGTTTTAAAAAAAGCAGAAAAACAAAATGCTTTTTAAAAGATAACGAAAATTTCAAGAGATCATTTCAGAATTCCCGTTATGCATCTTCACTTACAGTCGAAATTCTGTGTGAAATATTTACATCATTCTGCACTGTCGAAAACAAACATTGTTTTCGAAAAAGAAGCTTAATGACAACTTGTTTCATTCTTTTGTTGAGTTATCATCTATATCAAGTATTGGGTATTATTAATATGCTCTTTTTCACCTTACTACTTACACTTAGAGACAATAACTTGAAAAAAACAAGTATTTTCTAAAGAATATTTGTAAGGGTAATAAGAATTTAAAACCCATTTTAGTTTTAAAATGCAGATCGAAAACTTTAACTCAAAGCAGAGATAGACAAAGCTTTCAATGACACTGTTTAAATTTTTGATCTTTATCTGTTTTGTGTATAGAAATGCTTAAAAGACTTTTTTTTTCCACTTGTGTAGCTTCCACTACACATTCGATATATCCAGAAAGAACAACTTATGGCGCCATCTTTTTAGCAAATAATGAACTAAATTTAATTTTGAAACTTTTTTAATGAACTTTTTGAGGATTGTCTAATATTACTTCATGAGCTCGTATTATCGATAAAATTTGAGCTATGGACCCATTTACACTCGTCTACAATTGTTTTCCTGAGCGGCCGTGAAAAAGTTGTTAAAATCTTTCACTTATGTTTTTCTTTAACTCTAATTTAAAAGAACAATTTAATGTTAAGGTCTATAATTATGTTTTTTAGTAAATCTAACTATCGGTTAACTACTGTTTCTCTAATGATTTGTTATTTAAACTCGTCAGTCGGTGTTGTTTTTCAGGACTGAAACTCGTCCGAAAAATCCCGTAATATTTTAGGAAACTAGCGAAGAGTAGAAAATTTGAAAGACTTAATATTTCCTACTTTCAGGAATGTGCGTGTTGTAGTGCTAAGTTTGCAGTGGATGTAGTTTTGTCAGGGATTGTTTTTTATTTGAACTATTGTTATTTCATCGATAACTAACGAGGGACCTTTTCCAACTGTCTAATCGCTTTCGGGTCGAAACCTAGTGAATTATAGGTTAATCATGCTGATTCCATATATCCATATGAGACGGATCGGTAGGCCTTCCTAGAGCGGTTTTCTGGAAAAACTGGTTTTCCAGAAACCTCGGAAAGTCCTAAAACTTTCTGTTAATAGAAGAAAAGCTCTAAATGTTTATTGTCAGCTCAAAGCTACAAAAATAAGTAGAAATTAATTGGCTTTTCTTGTAAATTCTATAACTTTGCAAAGAAAGGTCATGTAGAGGTGGGAGAGGTCTCATTTTGATCATAATTTCGTGGGCTACAATCGTGGTTTATTAACAGAAAGTTTTGGGAACTTTCCGAGGTTTCTGGAAAAATGGTTTTCCAGAAAACCGCTCTAAGAAGGCCTAGCGACCCGTCTTATATGAATATTCGGGATCAGCGTGGTCGATTACCTATAACCCACTAGGTTTCGATCCGAAAGCCATTAGACAGTTGGAAAAGGTCCCTCGTAAGATGAAATGAGAATTTGATTGTTTAAGATCGTCCAACATTAGATCATGAAAATAAGGTTCGATGCCGTGTTATATAGTGTAGGATAATTTACGACGACCCACTGTGAACTGTTGAGCCGTTCGACTTTGTGGAATCATTTTTTTGAAATAATTCACTGGGATTATTAACTGAAGAATAACTTAAGCCCTTTCGAGCTGCATTCATGACCCATAAGGCTTCTGAAGATTTTCGAATGACAGTAGTTTTTCTTTGTTATCATTAGTTAGTTTAGCCGCTGCATGTTGCTCATCCGTTAGTTTAACAGTAGCGAATCTTTATTGACTGAGGGGATGACGAGATTAAACTTCAGTTTTGTTTTGATCCATGAAAAGCTTGTTGTTTTTTATATCATCTCATCCTCGTGAACATGCTTTTGATTCCGGTGGTGCACAAACAGTACAAATATATGTTTATGATGACTAACCACGTTTGGCCACACACTACATTTCAATCCCAATGAATCTATTCTTTTCAAACATGAATCAACAAAGTTCCTCACGCAGAAGCATAGCAGAACTTGTATCGGACACAGCAAACGCGTTCTTCTTATTATTTATTAATTTAAACTTTTTAGTGATAATTATTAGGAGAAGATGAAATCGGTTTTCCATAAGTTTAGTTTATAGAAACAGAGTAATGAAAGGGAGAGAGAATGCACATGAAAAAACAGAACAGAAATCCGTAGATATACGTATGCATGTGTGGTATTTGTCTTGACTACGTCCGTAACCAACTTTTTTCTCCGTTGCACGCCTTCCGTATTAACGATTATATTTACGAAAAGTGGAAGATTGGTAATGTTTTATACACGCAGCTTCGATGCAGATGTGAGACGTAAAGGCAAACTTTGTTATATCCTGTTGTTCCGAAAGGTTTGCACAATCACGAACATTTTTTATACTGTCCCAAAACCTTGAAAAAATATCTCGACTTGAATTCTTATCCCTATTGTTGTAGTATTCTCTATTGCAGACAAGTGTCGATAAACAAAATGCGAGCTTCAAAAATTGCAAGACATAAATTCTAAAACAAAAACACAGGCTGTTTATGTTTGAATAGTAACAATTTTTCTCAACTATGTTCTAATTTCGCTCAGCAGAGTTTTGATTATGAATAATGACTTTAACATGTTTGCTCATTAAAACTGCAATAATTTATAAGCGACATCTAGAAATGAAAGAAAAGATTTTTTTCAAAATTAATTCATTGCATTCTGAATAATGCAGCTGTTGGAAATTCCACTCGTTGCGTTCATAAAAGTTGCATCCAAATCAACTTCAAATCCGTGATGACTACAACTGAGATTCATTTAAATTCAGATCGTGGATTTTGATGAAACATGATTCTAGGCTTTGTTAATTGAATACAAAAAAAGACTGCGAGTCCCAAGCAAACACAAGTGAGTGACACCTACCTGTAATGCATACTATACTTGTTCTAAGTATAGATTAACTCTTTTTATGCACATATGTATTGATTGTATCTCCTAATTTTTAACTAACAGCATACAATTCTGACTTTCTTAATTTAAGATGACAGATACTAATTTATTTGATACTGTGATACCATCACCAGATCAAACAAGAGCACTAGGTAAACAATTCTCTAGATAGGATACATGATAATTTAATTGTTTAAATTTTATTCTAGGAACGAACTATTCGACAGCATCCTCTGATAGTTTTCAGCATGGAAGCCGAGCATCCGATGATGGTTCGAATTACTCACAGTAAGTTCTCTCGTATATTTTCTATTTCAACAATAATTTTTATTTTCATATTTTAGTGAAGATGAACGTGATTTAATCTTTAAAAGCCGGAAATCGTATCCAACTCGCACAAGTCGTCCAAAAATTAATTATCGTGATATTGAACGTGGTATATATGGTGATATTCGAAATTCACTATGGAATATTCCAACCGAACGTGCTACATCGAATGGACTTACAAAACGAAAAGCACTTCATCAGCACGACAGTGATGACTTGATGAAAGAGAGGCGTGAACAAGCACCGGAATCAAAAGATAACAACAGCAATAAAGATTTACCGCAATTACATAACCGTGCCTATGCTTCTCCTCCAACATTGCAAAGAAAGAATTCAGAACAAGACGACGAAGATGAAGAAGAGCAACAAACAGAAGATACCAATACGAATCGACGTCTATGGTGTATATGTAAACAAGTATGGGATGTTAATCGTTTTATGATCAGATGTGATAATTGCAGTGATTGGTTTCACGGTGATTGCGTGGGAATAACCAAAAATCAAGCAATAGAATTAGATATGAATGATGATCAATTTATTTGTCCAATATGCAAAGATCAACAACGTGTTCAAACGAAACAAATGGCTGAACAATCGAATTTAAATACTATTAAACGAAAACGGACTGAAACACAGGCAGGAATAACGATTTCATCAATAAATATGTTTTCAATTTTATATGCTTTTATTTTCTAGAGCGTTTTACGAAACGAAGAATATAACCGAGGAAGATCGATTAGTTCTTCTGGCGATGTAAGTGAACATAAAGAACAAATAAAACGGCAAAAAACAACTGTCAAACGAGATAACTTGATGGTAAAGAACAAATAATTCTTTTATTGATGTTGTATGTGTCAATGGGTTACTTCATTTTCCTTAGTTCAATAACATCAATGATAAAAAGATCCATTGTATATTGCGTGGTTGTGATAATTGGAGTAAACTTGGTTGGGTATATTGTTCAATACAATGTATTCGAAAACACATTAACGATACACTTCGTGCAATTCAAAGTGCAAAAGGATCAGTATGTTTGAAAACACATAATTAGTGTTAATATCCAAGAAAATAGTTTTTTGTTAATTTAAGGATAAATTGACGCGTGATGATATCATGTTATATGAACAAAAAACCGATACTATTTTAAATAGTTCATCTGTGCCACTACCAGTTGATGTATGCGATTGGATTATCCGTCATCCGTCATTTCAAATTATACATCCGGAATTGAAAAAAGCAACTTATATTCACCGTAAACTTGGAATACCAAAGATTCATCCAACAGGTTTGTCTCATTATCTATATGTGTGTGTATTTTGTACAGTGAGTATAATTCTTTTTCGGTTTTAGTTTCTTCAACAAAGTTATCAACATTCACAAATGTAAACAATATCAAATCATATGAAATTAATGATAAAAAACCACTTTCAGTTATTGAAAAACAAGAGGCTGCTAAAAAAGTTCAACTTTCAACATCATCAATTAATAAATCATCATCACAAAAACAACAACAACAACGTCAAGATTCCAAAGAAAAATCAAAAACAAAAACGTCTACAGTGGCATCAAAAGAGTCTCAGTCATCTTTGTCAAAGAATAATCAAATGGATCCAGCAACAATTCGAACAAAAGTTAGAAATTCATTAAATGAATATTTACTAGAAAGGTTAGCTTTTTTTTCAGATTAATTATTAAACATTTGTTTACGTTGACTATCTCTACTTTTGCACAGAACACAGAAGGCAAATTTAACACAATATACGTCAGATCATATTAAAAATATTTGTATACACATTGAAGAAGAAATGTATCGTATTTTCGGAAATACTGGCGATAAATATAAACAAAAATTTCGTACAATATTGTTCAATATCAAAGACAAAAACAATGATGTAAGTAAGACACCATTCATCTTTTTCTTTCTATTCGATCGCAAAAAAAATTTTATGTTGTAGATTTTTCAAAAAATTGTTAGTAAAGAATTGAATGCAAAACAATTAGTTCAAATGAATGCTGATGATATGGCGCCTGATGATGTTAAAGAACAACGACGACTAGAAATATTGAAAGAGGCAGAAGCAATTAAAAAATATAATGCTGAAACAGCCGTTGAACTAGCAAAACGTTCAAAAAGTAAAGTTACGCGTCAGGGACTAATTGAACTCGAGGCAACTGAACATTCTAAAAACGTGAGTGATCTCGAAAAACATTTCTAATTATTACCCCATTTGAATTACATTCAAACATTTTCGTCTCCATATTTGTAGGATAATCAGCAATTGCCATCGGATGATTCAGAAATTATCGAAAAAGCTTCTGTTGCTAAACCAGTCAATGATACATCTGCTTCCTTGTCAAGTACCAAAATGTTACTGATAAAACCGAAGCCAAATATTTTAACCGCTGTATCAAAGACATCCACAAATAATGAAAAACCTCTTTCAAAAACAAAACCTACATCGAATAAACGTCCCATAGTTGAAACTACACTATCCCAACAAAATGCGTCCACTATTTCAGCTCATAGCGACGCATTTATTCTAGCTAAACATCGTTCACATGTTTTTGATAAAAACTGTCAAATATGCAACAGTAACATGACAGTTGACAAACATTTGATTCGACAGACAAGATTAGGTAATACTCACACTTCTAATAGTACTTTGCTAATAACTAATTCTTTTTTTGGATATAGAATCAACTCCATATTCATTGACGTCATCCGTTGAACCACAAACGGTTCACGAGCAAATTGATATTACGATACCAATGAAGGTGAATTCCAATATTTCACATGAAGCAATTTTTAATAAGAATAAAGAACAACAAAATGTGACGACAACAATTACAGCAACTCCGATATCAAAAGATGAAACTGAACATACCGATTGTTTTTATCCGACTACTATTGATGGTGATAACGATTACATCGAACCGGAAAGTCCAACAGGAGACGATGCGAAATTGTATGATGACGATGACTGGTCCGACACAATTCACCAACAGCAGCAACAACGACCTGCGTATATACCGTCATCAAGCATAAGTCGGACAACGATAACTCCAGAAAAATCGCTCAATGCTCTTTCATACCATCCATATCAGTCAATTCTTGATGATTATAAACCAACAAATCTTGACAATATAAGAAAATCAGATTCATCTGAAACATCAACGTAAGTATACATCAATAAGAATATGTCTTTAATATTGAATATTAATTTTTCTAGATATCCTCGAACATCGATAACTCGTAGTAATAGTATTCGTTGGCGTGGTTCGATATATCTTGATTCACAAAAAATTTATTGTCAATCCAATCAGTTATATGGAAATGCCGACTATTTATATACAGACATTCCTGATAAAATAACAATTTGTGGTCGTTTAAGAACAGATGATCTCTATTCTTATGTTGAACAATCACTTTCTGTTCGTGATATTCTAATTATGAACTTAGTATCATCAGATGATAGTACAAAACAATTATTCGATAAATATGTTGATATTCTACGTCTTGCAAATCGTGCAGCTGTGGCAAATAAAGGCACGCAAAAATCGATAAAAGATATTTATATTATACCCGTCAATCATATAAATGTATTCCCACCAATTATACGCGCAGTGATAGTTAATTCATCTAATAATAGTACACAATTACCATTTTCAACCGGATCAGATGGTGGCTATTTGTTTATGATTATTATTGCATCTGGAAAACGAACAACAGCTGCAGTAGCAGTAAGTGATTCAGTGAAAAAACCTGTTAAAGCTCTACCACAACAAATTGACCATCAAGTAAGAACGACAACAGCAACAGTAGCACAAACAGCAAATAGAACCCTCACTTATAAACCAGTGGGATTACACGATGAAATGGCAGTGAATGTACGCGATCCAAGACTCCGAAATAAAGATCCAAGAATACCAGACGAGCCGATACAGCATAAGAAAGGTATGTTATATACACTTGTGGTAGCTTTGTTGAATATTTTCTCTCATTTTTGTGTCTATAGATACCCCTGTTATTACTGCGAGTTCCGCAATAAACTTATCTTTTTCTCAGTCAAAAGCCGCATCAGATATGAATACAGTCAAAAGTGAAGCAACAGGTATTGAAGAACAACAAAATAATCCACCATCTCTTCTTAAAACAGAATTAGCACGGTCACCACACAGGTACGTGTATTTTTTGTTGTCTGTTCGTTTATTTTCCAGGATTCGTATTTTGTTCATTCAGTGATGATATTATTTCACAACAAATAATATCAGAATCATTAAATCGTGTTCGTCAAGCATTGACACTCCCGGATCAAAGAGCTATTATCGTTGAAACCGTTGAACTCTTAAAACCTACACCGTTCTTTTGTAACAAGTATCTCGACGAATTGAAAAATATTTTGGCTGATTTACAAAATATGCGTACTCCACCACCATTCACTGCAGGATTTAAAATAAATGACAAATCTGCAAGCATATTACCGGGAGATGATCATCGTACCGAAGATATGGATGTTGAAGAAGATATTGAAGATAAATCGAATAGTACAATGGAATTTAACGACGTTGATTATCGTTTTTTAACGTCTGTACAATCGATAGAAGAAACCCTTTCGCCCATGATCATCGAGTCGAAAAAAACAGACATATCTGAAACTGATCAAGATCATCGTCAGCAATCAAGTGCTATGAACAGTCATCAACAATCAAATGTCGTCGAAGAAAAATCTATAATCGTCCAATCAAAAGATCAAGACCATCGTCAGAGAAAATCACGTTTTTCATCACTAAACTCAATAATAGATGACGGTGTGTCACAAATTGCTCATCATAAGTCACATGATCAACAGCCATCAACAACAATAAAAAATTCAAAATTACCATTCAATTTGAATGATATATTTCCTAGTGATGATGAAGACGATGAAACGGACAATAATGTACAAGGATATTCAAAATTATTATTAGATGATGGACATAAAACATCTCAGAAAACTAGTTCAGAAGAATCGAGTTCAGTTAAGGTGAATAAATAGATGGGTTGGTTGAAAAGACTAAGAACAATATAAAGGCTACAGGGACATCAAATTAGTAAATATCCATGTTTAATCATTTCTTCCTGAAGTGGTATGCTGCTTATTCGACGATTTTTTTTTTCAAGTTTAATTTGCCGTAGGATGGGTAAGACCTGTTATCTGGAATAAGTGGACAAGTACAATATTATTTTTTGAAAACAGCTCGTAGAAACTAAATCAAGAAAAAGAGCTACGATGTTTGAGGCTCGAATTCTTATTTAGAGCAGGTGTATGTCAAACATTGATACTTTTGGCTAAAATGCCATACTGCTCTATTTTAGAGTACATTTTCAAACAAATTTCGACCAGTAATTGAAGTTCATCAGAATGTTATCATCACAAATGCTTTGGATACTGAGGTGACATCTCCAACAGTCGACTCTTATAAACCTATTCGGTTTTCTATTTCCAAAGTTCCAATGCGTCAACGTAATTCAAGCATTTCCCAATTGTCATCAACACCAATAACAAACGATGACAAGAAGAAAACCGAAAAAAGTGCCAGTTTTATAATCGTGAAGCCGTCTGAAGATCCGTACGAGTCAGCTCCACAGTATATTGACGATTTAATCCAACAGGTACAACTATACGGTTTTCAAGGATTATCATTACAAAATTCCAATTGGACTAAAAGTTTGTCATCTTCATCGATACTCACAGGTTCTTATCTCAGTTATTTATATCAAAATCATCATGGGCAGTCATCAAAACCATCAGTCAATCAATCATCAACACACATATTCCCATTTCCTAATTCTACTAGTAATTCACCCATAAAGTATTTTCCACGCTCACGACAAAAAAATATTCGAAATAGCATGCCACGTTATAGAGATTTTGATCGTCCCGAAGGTGCTGATTGATTTTTTTCCTTCTTAAATTTGTTCTATGCCTTAAATGTTTTTGATCGTTTGGAATAGGCAATAAAACAGTTCTAAAATAAGAGAAACGCATACTTTTTTTGTTTTTTTCTACGTGGAGAAAAGAAAAACTGATTTATGTTATATGAAATTTTAGTTTTCCTTATATTACATTCCTGAATATTTGCGTATGCAGACCATATGTTTAAGTGTGATTATTTGTTATTTTTTGTTTTGTTTTTCTTTATTTTACCACAAGAACTAATTTCAAAGATATTGACACAATTTTTGTGTTTTATAATGAGTCAGAGTAATAAAAACAACCGTACTAAGTCATATATATCACAGTTAAGGTCCCCTGGGATCACAAATCTGTCTCGGCACCCACAAGTCGGGTCTGAGAAAAAATTTCAGGGAATGTTGAGCATGTCGCGGAATAGCTACGGTACAATTTTTGAGGCTCCATCTATCATTGGTCAAGAGATGTCGCTCGAGGATGGGTCAAAATGGGGCATTTACCGTCCGACAGATTTCTCCTCTAAGAAAGCAGCTGAAGAGGCTGGTTTTAAAATATCAGATTAAGTCAGAATAACAAGATAAAAGAGCAGATATTTTGAAATTTTTCTTTTTATCATTTTCCGAAGGAATTTTCCTCAAAAGTTCGATAAAAGCGCAACAACCGCTCTAAATCAAAAACCCAGCTCTGTTACGTCATTCCTATGACTGTTTGCGCCTATTTTTGGCCTTTTCGTACAACTGTTATAACTTAGACATTTTGGACTATTCATTGAATAGTATTCAATGGTATGCTTTCCTGAATAACAACCTTTTTGCAAAAAAATTCGTATTTTTGACGGCTTAAACTATTTCTAACCATAAGCTAAAAATTTAAAAACTCTAATTTATCGGAATAGAACATAGAGATACGGTTACATTTAAGCAAATGCAGCTAAAATATCTGTTAGAACTAATTTAGAGATGTTTTGACACTATCTTGTTCTACAAAATATGTACAAAACAGACCGTACATAGATGCCTCAGTTGTTTTTCATTTCATTGTGTACATGAACATATTATTTATAATTTAAACTTTAGTAACAATATACAGTTACAACAAAATTGCTTTAGATGGGAGAGAGTGATGAATATAAATACATCCATGAGATTTCAAGTATACATGATATTGATTTATCCAGCGTTTTCGATATAACTTTGGCAAGGTGGGGAAAGTTTTACGGAGCAAGTCTAAAAACTTTAGCTGGCAACCAAAAATAAAAAAAGCATGCATTTAACTTTTTTTCTGAGGACGTAAGTTTTTTTCTCCAGGGAGTAATTCATTTCAAACGAAGTGGGGGAATTCCTCCACCTTCCCCCACCTAATCGAAAACGCTGAACTTATCTACTGTTTCATTCAACAAAGAATCCACTCGTCTATTGCGTGTAGCTAAATCAAAATTTCTTTTCCTCGATACGGGTTTATTGAAATGAAGAAATAGATTCGATAATATTCAGTTGGATGGTATAATAAAGACAAATAGAAGCATGTATTTATTATATGCAAAGATCCGATAATTATTTTATATTTTTGAGATTTAAGGAATGAACCTGATAGATGTAGACTTTAAAAACTGTGACAAACGTCCGCACGTCAAAGTTCAACATACTAATTAATTTTGAATGACATCTAATCCGAATACGTGATGCGTTTTTTGTAGCAGTTGGTGATTTAGTTCGCTATAATATATAATATTTGCCGTAAAAAATTTACGACTTATTGCGTTTATAGTTTGGTCGAATAAGTGTATTAAAAGGACACAGAAAAGTTACGAACAGCAATCTCAATACTGATGGTTGGACAGTTAACTCTCTCAGTCCCTGTTGCCATTGTTTTACTTTTTCTGAGTCACTTTTGTTGTTGTTAAGCATGTTGAAATAGAGAAGAAAATAAAAGAAACAGTTAACAAGTCGATAAAAAACAAATGAAACCGTCGAAGTTGGCCAATTAATGGAATTATTTTGTTGGCAAAAGCTGTTTGGATGTTTGTGCAAAGTAGATATTTCAAAGGCTCAAAACTATACGCTACAAATTAGGTCAAAAAACTAACCAACAATATTTATTCATCTTGAAGACAAGAGTGAATTTTGTTTCTGAAAACGACTAAAAACTACGCGACTTTTTGGCTAGTTGCCACATATCTTAGCACCAAATGGGCTAAAAACTTTATTTATTCAGAAGTGAACAGTCAATTCAAAACAAATAATGTATAAGATATAATCTGAAAATCTATCCTGCAAAACAGGTTTAATGATGTTACGTCGATTCCAATTACGGAAGCTTGTCTAAAAGCTTTTTTATCTTTTATCTCTTTTTGTCTTGACTCAAATTCCGTTATAATGTACTCAATTAGGTAGAAAATCATGAGGAATTCAATAGACATCCCTGGAGGGTTTTCAGTTGGTCTCCAAAAATCTTTTACCAAAAATTAGGGTTTCAACGGTTTCATTTGGTTTTTATCGACTTGTTAACTGTTTCTTTTATTTTCTTCTCTATTTCAACATGCTTAACAACAACAAAAGTGACTCAAAAAAAGTAAAACAATGACAACAGAGACTGAAAGAGTTGACTGTTCAAGCGTTAGTATTGAGATTGCTGTTCGTAACTTTTCTGTGTCCTTTTAATACACTTATTCGACTATGTAAATTTTTGTTTACCATTACCATCGGGCAGAATGTTTTACCATTACCACGACCATGGTAATGGTGCAATGGTACATGACCATGCTAATGGTTCTGAAATTTCCGCGGTAATGGAATATATTCGCACAGAAAGGAAAGAAACAAATAAAAACGTGTGCATAAGGCAGAAAACAAAGAATATGTGATATCATGGACTAGCCTGAACGTTATATAACGTTTGACTATATTATATGCATTAAGTGATATACGATATCATTTATAATGAAGAGATGGTACTGGAATCTGACAAGCAACCGTTACCACTAACATCACCATTATTATGAATTTAAACTTTTGTTACCATTGACCATCTATTACCAGGAATTATAATTCGTTTTTTACCATTAGCATAATGATCATGTTAAGGTAATGGAATTTTTTTGTTACCGCAGGAGTATGATGACACGAATTAAAACATTAGCGGTATGTGTACCGCTAATGTGACTAGGGAAAAAAGTAAAAGAGGAAAGAAAGAAAGAACAACGTCGTCACTTAAACAAAAGAATCTCCTTATTTGAACATGGTTTTTCAATTTTTTCTTTACAGCAAGCTTTTCGCCTTCCAAGATTTATGTTATCATTTTAATGGAGAAAACTGAATGAGGGTTGTAGAAAGATGAGTATGAAAGTATTTGTGCCAACTTCAAAAAACTGAATGATTTACGTGCATTTCTTTCTTCATCATTCTGACCAAGTAACGTTGCTGCAGATCTGTAGCTGTGACAGATAATCCAATTGATTGTTGAATCACCTGTAGCAGTTCACACAATAAATGGATGCTGAATTCATCAAATCTATCACGGCTGCTACATCTGTTTTGACATTCAGCTCTCTCGATCAACCGAAAAAGAATGATCAGTCGACATACAAGATCATACAGTACGAAACATATTACTTTCTACTTCCCGTATGATCTTATCATAGCTAAAGTAATAAGGATGGAACTAAAAATCAACGATTAGCCACAGTTGCAAGTTCTAGCTGCAGAGATCATTGCTTCAAACAAGATCTTTGATAATATTCAAATAAATTTTTGCTGTAAGAAAAACTTTTTTTGATAGAATTCAATGCTGATCAACATTTACAGAAACTACATGTAGATCATTTCATCCACTCACATGATGGTCAAAGTAATACTGCTGTCTTTTTGTTATTGTACGTCTATATGTATATATGTCCATCTGTAAAAGTTATGACTATACGGACTTCAAAGAATATCCAAAAAAATTCTTCGATATATATTTTGTTATTATAGTAGGCACAAAGAAAATATCTATAGGTTGACTATTTGTTCAATGTGATACCGTTGTTTGATTCTGTGATCCATAGACGAAAGAATGAGAAAAGAAGAAAGAAATATATATAAATATTCACACATGATCAATCGGATGAAATTAGAAGAATTCTTTTAGACAACAAAATCAATTAATTGGATATAGACTGTGCTCGTAAAATAGATTATATAGTTATGACTATTATACATTTATTACAGACGTATGAAATAAGATTTATTGATGCATCCTATATGTGTGTGTGTGTGTGTATGTAAAAGTGACAAATGATATCATAAAATAGTCACCAATTCTTACTAGTATTCATATCTTTGTTTTCATTATATTTTGCTTTAAACTTTAAAACTATATTTCAAGAGAACTATTGTTTTCTAGTAGAGAAAATATTCATTTTTATATGGATGACTTCCGAAATAAAAATTATTTTCTATCTTGAGAAAAGATTAAGTAGTATCCATAATTAAAAAGATGATACTCAACTAACTATCACAGTTTCGTCTACTGACTATACACTCAATCTCAATTTATCTATTTTTCATCTTTAATTTTTAGAAAACTATGTCCACATAGAAAACCTTTTACCAAATAATCTTCTGTTAATTTTCTATGTATACCTCGATAATTAAAAACTCATAAATGTTGACCATCTGTTATAATTCGAAGAATCAAATATGGTTAGATCTATCGAACTGAACAAGTTTTGTGTATGTGCTCTCACACACAAATTATATTCATACATCTTCAATTTGTAATGTCTACCATATCATTCTGTCAACTATCATATATCCATTAAGAAGAAATATCTTTTTATTTTTGTTTTGTTTAACGGCAATACAAAGCATCATAGTAATAAATTAACACCCATAATTTTCTCGAGAATCAATTGGTTTACAAATATTGTAGAGAAAAATAAATCTAATACAAAAAAGAAAGATTTATAAATGAACAACTACATTTTCATGTTAAAATTATTCTAAAAAACGATACATTCTTACTATTATTATACTCAATAATTGCCAATATCGAAAAATAGTATGAATTTTTCTGTATTATTATTCTTATAAAAACATCGTTTATTTTTTTGTCCTGTTGGCCATTCTGTTATTTTCGCATAGTTTTAGATTCTCGCCTATGTATGACTGTATATAGCGAAAAAAAAAAGAAAATAAACCACACACATAAGGCTATATAGAGAAAAGAGATCTCAAAACAGATAGAGAAAAAAGAGAAATAGGGAACTCGATAAGAAGATAACTCAAATTGACAGCTTGAGCGAAGTGTAAGATTCTGTCATTCTATTTTCAATCAAATATTTGATTAGGTGTTTACGTTTGAAGTTAATACGATACTTCATAAAGAAAATACTTGGTAAGTTTTATATTTTTTCCCAACTTGTTTGCTTATTATATTAATCGTGAAGAATAATGAGGATAGATAGTATGATTGTTAAGATAGAATAAGATTTGAATTCGAGAGTCTCCATTAAATCAGATTGGTTCATGAAATCGAATTTAGAGTAAATACTCGTGGACAAAGCCACATCTCTACTATCCATGATGTCAATTAACTTTATTAATGGAAGAAGCAGTACACATTGTTTCGCTCTTACATATGGCAGATCAATTGAACATGTTTTGATAAGCGGATGCTATCTAACGTCTTGAAAACTTGTATATTTTTTAATCATGATTTACATCATTACATAATTATCATCTACAACTTCGTGTCACCCAGATACATCAGACATGAATAATTATTCATATTAAACATTATTCTTATTTTATTTTGCTGTTATCTTCTGAGTTATAATCAGAATGATAATTCGAGAAGTAGATAATAGATCGAGATAACACTTCATTTATAAACAGGTGTAAACAATGAACATCAAGTTTATTGTGAGATATTAACAAAATTTTTAGTACTATCTATTCTTTAATGATCAAAAGAGTTACGTGAGTTCATATGTATAATGAAAGAACATCTGAAAAAAATCAGCATTTTGATTGTAGTATTGAGACTTTATAAGTGAAGACTAGAGGTGTGAAGGATAAACTAGGATCAAGGCTCAATAAACAGCTATCCTGCACATTTCTAGTGACAACTTGGTAACCGATACTAATAGTTTAGAAATGGAGAGTTTCTTAAAATGAAAACGACAAATCATTAGAAAATAGGTGTATTAGTTATTTTCCATGTCATAAATAGCATTTCAACTGAGTGAACATTTGTTGTATCGTTTGAATTTTATTAATTTAATTTAATTCAATCTTTCATTTTAGCTGAAAACTAATTTGTTACGTATGTAAAACATACAGCGAGCATGGTTGTAATCGATTGGCTACAAACATGTCAATTTATAACAGGTAGATTATTCTCAATTTGTTTTCTTTTATTATCACACATAAATAAATCGATATCTTTAAGATAAAAGAAAATAATTCATTTTATCTCACATATCCATAATGTCCCTTTTTCTTTCAGATAATTCGGAACGTTTTGCATTATATTTATTATGTGGATGTTTTATGGGTTTGACAATTATTTTAACAATGGTTATAGCCGTTTTATATTATGGAAAATATACGAGGACTAAAACAACGATAACGAATCACATTTTACCTAATAATTCGCCGAATAGTGATACGGTTGTGACACAAGAGGAAAGTGAATATGAATTTACAACGGCAAAAGATTATTCAAAATCTTATATTCCTGTCTATCGATATAATAGTCGTGCGCCTATACATAATTCATTTTCGGATCCTGTTGATCGACGTACGATTTTAAAACATTTCACATCAAATGGCGGATATTATCCAGCATCATAAACATCATATAGGCACGTATCAGTTATATCCCGGTGCTCACTGTCATCGTAAATTCGAGTTCTCTTTTTATTTCATTTATGTAAAACTATTTACTAGAAAATATATGATAAAATGTTATTTAGACTATAATTGTTCAATTATTTGGACAATGGCTACATCCTAAGCTCTTGATGCTTATTTTTTCACTCACATACATATTTAATTTTATGCTAGACTAATATTTATTGAGCCTTCGAGCATGTGTATCTTATAACATTATCTAGGCTAATTACGCTGTTTTCTTTTAATATACATTGAACTTCTTTCCCTAAGGATGTAAAGAAGATACATGTTCAATATTTTCACCATTAACTCAAATTATGTACACAAGTTTTTAGATTTATTACATATTTTTTGTTGGCAAACTCTCATCACTGGCTCTTCAACGTATGATTATTTTATTACCATTTTCTTTGATCAATTTCCTACTATTTGAATTAAAATGAAAAAATCTTTAAAATAATAGATGTTGCATTTCTCATCAGTTCAAAAACTTTTATCTAGAAATTCAAGGCATACGAATGAACATATAATTCTCTTATTCTCTGAAAAAATCAAAATAGTATTTTCCTTTCTCTTTCTGTTACTTTTCTTGATGAGGTTGTTGTTCATAAAAACACATAACACTAACACTTCACGAATATTCTCTAGTTATACAAACATGTGTCTATGTTCAATCAATACGTAAGTGATGTCTCACTGTCATTGATTAAGAAATAGTGGAAAGCCTGCAGAGAAATCTTAGCTGGTAATGAACGTATAAATGTTATTTTTTACTATTAAAAATGGAATCAGTAGTTGTTGTATGATCACTAGTGACTGGCATATGATTATTATTTTGTTAATTATTCAATGAAAGCATATATTTTTGATAGGAATGTCAGAAATAAAAATTGTATTAATCACTTCAGCGAGTTTATCATTTGATGCAATCAAGAAAATCACCACATATCATCAACTACAGAGTAGTCGTTGGAAGATTGTGCTATAAAGTCTCCAATTTATACTACATATGAAAATTGTATCATGAAAACATTTAATATCATTTTCAAACGAAATGTATTTTTTTAATATCAAAAGAAATGTTTATATGATGAACTCATAGATAGTTTGTCAACATGTTTTGAAAAAAGTGGAGTAAGAAAAAATAATAAAATACAAGAATCGTTTTTGAATATAACAGTATTAAAAGCACAGTTAGATGACTATATACAATATTTTCATCATGTTGACTTCCATTCGATATTATTTATCTAATCAGACTTTCAATGAGTGGATTGACGGGTCGAAATATAGCTGTTTCACTCTTCGAAGTGTCATTTTTTGAAGGGATGTGGCAATGTTGTTGATCAATTTTTTTATCAATAAACCCTTAAAATTGGCTGGCTATTCATTGAATTTTTATCAGATCAAAATTTGAATACAGGTATGCAGCGTTATCAGTTTTTTCTGTAGATCTTCACTGACGACATGTTCTCTTATCTGTACACTTTTGCCTTTTCGAAATAAGAACTCCAGACGGATGAACATTGTATAGGTTAATGAATGCTTCTTGTCTTTTTATCTATTCAAACAAAATCACTTACGAGTTAACCTCTTGAGGTTATAAATCGCTTTTGCATTCAAACTACTTTTATCTTGTAGATTGCAGTAAGTAGTGAAATATTCTAAGTTGGTTTGCACACATGGTGCTTTGTTGCTGAGATACTGGATTTTTAGTCAATTTTTTGCCTATAGGGCTTGGATTTCGAGCAAAATCCGACTTTCGAATTTGATTTTAAACTTGCCACACTTGTAGCCCATGGTCATAGTAGTACGATAGAAAAATATTCGATGCTAATGAATTTTCCTGCCTTGAGATATTAAGACTCGAACATTTCACCAGAAGGTAAGGGTGAGGGTCAAATATTCGGGTCTCAATATATCAGGGCAGGAAAATTCATTAGCATTGAATATTTTTCTGTCGTACTACTATGATCATGGGCTACAAGTGTGGCAGGTTTGAAATTAAAATTCGAAAGTCGGATTTTGCTCGAAATCCAAGCCCTATAGGCAAAAAACTGACTTAAAATCCAGTATCTCAGCAGCAAAGCACCATGTACACAAACAAACCTAGGATATTTCACTACTCACTGAGATCTACAAGGTAAAAGTAGTTTGAATTCAAACGCGATTTATAATCTCAAGAGGTTCCCTCGTTAGTCCTTTTTCAAGAATGTATTTCTTTGCCACTATACCACAATGTTCCATCTTGGTCTCATATAATATCTAAACTGTTCTTTAAGAAATTATTTAATTAGAAAATATTCTTTATTTTGTTATTTGTATGCTATTAAATTCTTCTTTATATTTGAGCTCCAATTCTGTGAATAATATATAAACATGAAACGGTTTTTTACTGTTATATAATGGAAACAAAGAATAAATCACCGATAATGACAAATTCATTGAGTAAACAATCATTCATAGTCCCTTTCAATTGACGAATAGCTATATGTCAAAGTAAAGCCTTTTTCCTTACATCGTCGTGTACAGACAGTGCTGAATGAACACAATTAGTTCTTTGCGTTTCGTTAGAACTTGTCAAAATTCATCTAAATATAAATTGAATACAAAACAAACCTAGAACATTTGATCTTTGATTTTTAATGGTACATTAGGACGCGTTTGCTAAAGTGTAACATTGGTGCAAAAGTTTTATCTAGTTTTGAAAACTATTAATTATGAATTCAAATAAACGAATAACAGCTGAACCATGCGGATGATTCACTTTTCGATTAATAATTTCTATAAAAATCATTAGAATTTTTCATTGACATGTTACTAAAATAAGCTTGACTTGATGACTGTTTACACGTGTACCGATGTGGAGTGGATATTGTGATAAAAAAGTACTCTTTTCCCCATATTTGGGCGCATTTGTATCTTCTCACATTTGGATGTCTTGTTAGATATACGCGTTATGAGCGCACTCAGGCGCGTTCCAAACCAGTTGTATAAGGACGTTTTCAGATGCGCTCAGACAGGTTTCTCGTGATCGAGATAGAAAGTATGTCTACATGCGTTTCCAATTTCCTTTTCATCCAGAGTACCTCAAACCCCCCTTTTAGTCTGCGCGCGTTTGAGAAAATGGTTAAATTTTAGTCGAAATTTGTTCGAAGATGCTACAAACATTAGAAAAGTTGAAAGATCTCTATCATGAGATGTGTGTCCGGCCGCATTTCCTTTTCTTTCATGAAAAAAAACCGTCTGAATGCGTCTGGCGATTAAATTTTTGGTTTACATTGAGTAAGAAGCTTTGAAATATGCGTGGACATGTTTACTCTCTCGGAAAAGCTCGTTTATTTGAGATACAAAAACGCATCTGAATGGACCCTTTTTTAATAAAAATTAACAATTTACATTTAGACGCATCTGAGTCTGAACGCGCCTAGACGTTTTTTAATATATTGAAATGAAAGTGGATGCGTGCAGACGTTCGTTTCTATGTTAAAATTTTCCAGTGGGATGAATAACACTTTTACCTTTAAATGAAGATCTTTTACTTGCACGTCTTAACCACGGCGCTGAATCAAATAAATGTTTCATTGATTCAACACTTTCTACGTGTTCTGGTACAGTTTCTAAACTACAACGAGATGACAACCTGCGATGATTGTTACTCAGCTTGCTTGTTTGTCTAGTATAACCATTACCCATTATAGTTGAATGCGTTGGAGGTTCATATTCATTGACAAAACCTAGACTATGTTGAACACTATCAACATCGGCAACACGTGATAAACGACGTTGAACAGAAACTGGTAAACGAGTTACTTGTACCAGATTTTTATCAAGATGCTTTGTTAAATCTTTGATTGATTTTGAATGTAAATTGTCTGAACCTGTGTCAATAAAACGATTTAGAAGTTTTTGTGCATAATTTTTAGCTTTAATATGATGTAAAACAGCAATAATAACTTGTAATACAAATACTACTAATACTAGTAACGGCACTAAATAACCGGTTTTCGATCCATGATGTGAGCCAATCGTTTTTTCTCCTTTTGTTAAATCGTAACATCCATATCGTGGTTTAAATAGCGTTTCAAAATTATCCACAAATGTTAAACAAATAACATAATCACCATCTTCAAGGCGAAGTAGACGTAATAAATTTTGACTTTCATTCAACCGTTGTCGAGGTAAATATTCACTATTTGTTGTACCAAACAGACGTATACTATAATAATAATAACGATATTCTTGCAAAACCCAATCGTCAACTTTAAATATAATATCAATATAGTTTCCACGTAGAGCAGAGTGATGAGAAAATTGCAAGCTCATTTCGTTTGTGAAACCCAGTGTACCTGAACTTAAGTGCCCTCCGCCACTACTGGCCAACATTCCACGAATACATAGAGCGACAAATATTAACCATATCATGGTCTTCATGTTGCTGTATATTTCATGTCTCTATCAACATTTCGCTGTTGTTGAAAGAACGATTAGAAAGGAATTCAATGTTTTACTCATCACTAATAGCTTTCATTAATCAAAACAATCAACATACTTTATATATGTTAAATATACGGAGAAGGAAAATTTCTTGGATCAAAAACTTCATATTATACTTTATTACAGCATTCAATTTTATAAAATCCTTTGTTTATGGCGTATAGAGAATAGTTATTAAACACGAACGAAATGTCATAATGTGTGATTCAGAGAATAGAAATGAAAGGGATTATATAATTAAACATTCCGTATGGAATCAGATTCATACAGCATGAAGAACTTCAACCCTGTATAAAATCTTTCAGACATGAAATACGACATCGGGATATGTGAGCAGACAATGTGGTTACCTAAGGAGGAATTAGCTGAGAAAGATAAAATTATTTTGTTAACAGTTCACATGACGAAACGTGAAAAATTTGGAAATTATCAATGTTGATTTTTAAGCTACACTTACTTATTAGTTGTTTGGTGAAAATTTTGGTGTAGATATTGATGTGGAACAAATAATTATATCAACCAGGTCAGCTGACAAAACAAATCAGATCTTTTTAAATAGTTTCATCGAGTTTCAAAACAATTTACAAAAAACTGCATTGGGTTCATGTGACTTTCAAGACTACCATCATAATTCATTACACCTTCTAATTGGAATCATTCGGAAAATGCTGTAAAAATTTCGTCTTTGCGAAAGGAATACAAGAACAATGTATATTTTCCACGAAACATGCAGAAAAAAGTAACTTTAGCAAAAACTTACCGGAAAAATCATCTCGAAAACTTTTACAAAGCGCATCATTCGATACAGTTTTTATTGTTGATCATTGCCGTGTACCTTGTTTTATTGAAGAATGTCTTTCTATGGAGAAAAGAATGACTTTCTATCATAGATAATATGATTTTCCATAGTGTATGCTAAGTTTGTTTCCAAAATTTCGCCATGTTCTGGCCTATAGAGGACCTTGATAATAGGCTCGTTTTATGCAAAATTGTGAGCTTTACAAAACTTACTTTAGAAATCTCTGGAGACTTTTGAAGCAGCTCTGACAGCTGGAGAAAACTTGAAAATTTTACTTTTTCAAAAACTTAAAAAATTTGAAAATTTCGATTTTTCATACACAAACCAAAAATGTTTTTGACTACAAAATACATTATTCGATGCAGTTTCAGACACTCTTTGGAATGAGATGTTACAGAAAAATATCGGACAAGAACTGAGGGAGAAAATTGTAAAATAGTGCAGATTGCGTTTTTTTCCGAATTTTCGACGATGCTTATTTTGAAATTTCGATAATGCCGTGAATATGAGGTCTAAAAATCTGAAACAAATTTCATAACCTCAGTCGTCTTAGGATCGAATGAGATCACGAAAAGTATATGTTAGCTTTTTCCGTGTCTTGCCTTTCTCGCTTGCCTCATAGGCTCATGCTCAATGGACTCATGCAATGTCTCTTAAATATATTTAAGTTAAGTTTTTTTTTTTGTCATTTCTATTTTAGAAAAATTTACGCTTAAACAAACATAAAAATATGACAGAACTGATTTTCTGCAATCAAGTTTGTTACAGATCAACTTGATTGCTTCTACAGCAACCGTTCAATATAATTCTATTTCAAGTTACTTTAATCTTGAAATCGAATATTAAAATTATACTGATACCAGCTGAAATTTGTAGATAAGTTTTCTGATGTTCAACTGTTTCAAAAATATATTCATGATGATAGTGATTTTGACTCCAAAAATGATTGAAACGGTACATCACATCCCCTGCTAGAAAAGTCTTTGGCTCGAGTTCTGAAAACTTTTTGCTCCAGTTTGAAATTAAGTTACTTCAAAAATGAGTTCTATTGGTATGAAGTTTTTTGCGGCGTTTGGCTCTAATTTTAATTTGACTTACTCTCTACTTTTGGTCTCGGAACGTTCTTGCATTTTAATTAATTAAATTGTTGCTTCTATATGAATTAAAGCCTACATATATGCTACTACAATAAGTCCTTGTTCAACAATTGTCTGCGCATCGTTCAAGTTTTTTCCAAAACTATATCAGATAGTCCTCTTCCTTCTAGTTTAAGTATTGAATAGATCTAAAATTTTGTTTCTTTTGATCATGCAACAATGATCGCGGTAGACTATGACTGTGCCGTTAGAACATTAAACTTCTTGCTATCATCATAAACGTTTAATTCAGATAATTTTTTACACATGCAAGAAAGTTTTACATATGCAAGAAAATTGTCAACGGTATGTAAAAGAAAAAGAACAAAACGAAACGTTTTAATTCAGTTAAAATAAAGTAAACTCTTTATTTAAGAATACAGCGAAAACAAATTAGTCGTCTATTTGATTTTTTAAAATACAAGTGTTTACATTTTAAAACAATAATCGCTAAAAACACGAAAATATTCTTTTACACACACACATAATATATCATAAGTGAAACGAAAGATTATCAAATGAGTAGTACAATCCATCGGAAAGGCTACACAGATCCAGCAAACGAGGTAGTGTAATCATTTCATTCGAATATATGTATCTATTCAAATGGAACACATGGGTCTGTGAAAGAAGTGTAAAAGTCTATGTTGCTCTATTATTGACTTCACAACATTTGTTCATAGCGCGATGTAAGACTATAATCATTTATTTTATTTTAGGAATTTCAAAATAATGTCGTTCGTGATCATTTAATTCAGAAAACACATGCTGGAAATGTATTGGTATCAGAATACGATGTTCAGGAACCAAAGAAGAGACCACAATCGTTTTGTTTTCGTGATATATCTATACCAAGATGGTTATTATTTGTTTTTGCTTCATTAGTAGTGGTTGCACTAACAGCATTTGTCTTATTTACATGTATTGTTATATTAAAAAAATATACAAACGGTGAGCCTTGTAAACAGAATAGTGATTGTCGACAAGATTTGGGTAAGCAAAAGTAATTGTCGAAATCACCTGCTAATTCTAACGTAGACTTTTGTTAGGTCTAATGTGCAATAATTATCGATGTGGTTGTGCATATTCACATTTTTGGAGTTCATCATATCAAATTTGTGAGCGTCGTCGTATGATTAATCGAACATGTGATTCGGATGAAATGTGTGATGCTCTAAGTAATTTGGAATGTCAAAACGTAACACTAAGGTAATCGAATACGTGTGATATACTTTATTTACAATGACAATTTATTTGGAATGTAGTAATAGTACTGTAGTACTAGAATGTCAATGTAAAACACAAATGTATTGGAATGGTTATACCGTATGTAGATTATGTCATGAATTCTGATTTCGTGCCTCATTACTATTATTTTTGCAGTGTAGTTTTCAAGGTTTATACAATGACTCTTGTGTCCAAGATTACAACTGTGATACCACACGTTATCTTTATTGCAATACAGCACTAAGCGAATGCAAATGCAATACGTCTATGTTTTGGGACGGTGGCACATGCGAATATTGTCGAACAATAAACCTATATTGCCAAAATAACAACTGGTGTGATTACTCTGCACCTATTGGAGAACGTAAGTTCGCAGTTGGTAGTAAAATATGATTCTGACAAACTTATAGTAGCATTTATATTGTTTTCTTTCTAAGAGTTAACTTGTGGTAATTATGGAACTGTAAAAGGTAAGAACATCTCGTTGCCGTAAATGCTTCTTCAATTTAAATAATGCTCTGTTAAATTGATTTCAACAGGTATTTGTTCATGTGCATATGACTACTATTATAGTGGGACAGCGGCTTTATCAAATGGTATTTGTACTTATACGAAAGCTTTTAATGTAACATGCGGTTTATCACTTGAATGTCGAACATCAAAAGGCCTAATTTGTAGTGGTTCGCGTTGTACATGTCCCAATCTTTACTACTATGATTATATTCTAAATAATGGTACATGTTTATATGCATTATCTTATTTACAAAACTGCACATCATCTGCTATATGTAATCCACAATTGTTACTCTATTGTGATTATACTGCATATAGTTCATCTACTGTTGGACAATGCAATTGTAATAGTTCAACGACCTATTGGGATGGAACAATTTGTGCTGCTAAACTAACAATTGGTGGATCGTGCCAATCGAATAACACATGTATCGTAGCATCGACCTATGGTCTCGAATGTAGCGGTTACACGACAACAAATCAGACATGTGACTGCCTCAGCACTGCTTATTGGAACACTACAACGGAACAATGTACTGTAAAACAATTGTATAATACAAGTTGTGCAACAAGTTATGTTTGTGATGAGAGTCGTGGCTTACAGTGTCAAGGACTTGGTAACGCTCTTTATGAAAAATGCGATTGTTATAATGCGACGTATGTTTGGGATTCATTATACGTTACAAAAAATCAGACATGTATTGTAAAAAAGACTAATTTACAAACAGGATGTAGTGGCGATTTAGAATGTCAAGATTTTAACTATTTAGTTTGTAGTACTAATACATCAACAAACACATCAGTATGTCAATGCGTTTATACAGATTACTGGGATGGTAGTCGATGTCAGGCAAAACTAAATTATACTCAGCCTTGCACGAACACCACAATGTGTCGTGACTTTTATCCTGTTCTTTTGCAATGCCGCAGTGGTCAGTGTCTATGTGAAAGTTTGCCGACATACTATTACTGGAGTGATTGTCTGCAGAATTGTATTACTGCAAAACAAGTGAGTTGAATCAGCTTTATGGAAAATAATGCGATGTACTTCTGCAAAGCAGCCTCCGTTACTGTATTCTTGACATTAGTACTAACTTAGATTAGCCTGTAATCGTTTATCTCATTTTCTTATGGCAGTGAATATACCTACAACTAACTGATCTGAATCTATTTATGCTTGATAATTAGATGTTTTCGTTCTTTCTTTAGTATCAGCAATCATGTACTCTAACTGCCAATTGTACCAGTAATGAATGTAATCAAAACAACAATCTTCAATGTATCGGGACAGGTACAACAGGTGTTTGTAACTGTACGTCTTTAGAATGGTGGAACGGAACATACTGCCGTCCCAAGGGAACACCGGCGTGGCTAACACATACAGCAGATGTATGTAATGCCAGTTATCAATGTGCTGATTACGCTCTTGTCAGCTGTCTATTCAGTGAATGCGATTGTGCAAGTACCAATTATTGGGTAAACTCCGCATAATAAAGATAAAATGAATGCATATTTTTATTAAAAAAAGTCTAATTTGCTGCTATTTTAGAATGGCACCAGCATTTCCTGTATGTCTCGGAAATCCAACGGTGCTTCCTGTGCCAACAATTACGAATGTTTAGCAGCCGCAGGAGTAGGATTGACATGTCAAAGTGGGACATGTCAGTGCAGTTCACCTTCAGTATGGGATTCAACATTTTTAGTATGCTATATCAGCACAGGATAATGAAATGTTCATGGTGTGTGAATGTACAGAACAGGCTGGAAAAATATCAAAAACAGATTGTAACTTACTTCTATACGTCTTTCAGAGTTCTGGCGGTGTATGTAAATAAAAAAACTTACAGAATTCAGTATTATTATTTTGATATACGGACTTTTTTTCTCGATAATAATACTGACTCGCTAATGCGCTATTTAAGAGCTATGACAATAGATAGTGCTCGTTTTTGTAATGGACTGTTGGAGAAAAAAACAAAATCATGTTACTCTTTTTCAATAGTAATCCTGTGCTCAACAAGTTAACATGATTTCTTGAAATATTAATTTTTTTCTCAGTCAAATAATGCAAATAAGTCGAAAACATATAATTCGAAGTGTCCTCTACAAACTGAAAAGCTTGGCGAAGGTGTATATGGTTTTTTCATTAATTGAATAATAATAAGCATTTATTATTATAGCTCATCAGATAAGGATGACATAATCTTGGGTGGTTCTTTTGATAAAATAATAGCGCTATATCACTTGCTCAATTTGTCCACATAATCGTTCTCATAGTTTACTCTTTTCTAGAAAAATTCTTTCAACGAGGATAAAAACTAATTTTAAAACTTCGAGTAGATTAAATATTTTTCTAAAAAATTAACGATGTCTCGATTTTGGAAACGGATTCGTTATGAATATGTAGCTGTTTTTACAGCCAGTTTGTAAAACCGATTTTGAAGTTGTCTAAAAAGCCTTTTTAGAAGAGTGAAAATAAACAAGTCCAAAACCTACGGCAATAGCCTAAATTAAACATTTTTGGAAAAACAGTAGATATCCAACTTTTTCCAAAGAGCAAACATTGTCTCAAGACTCAACATAATCAATTATATACGTTCCATTTCTTTCTGAAACTACTAAGTGATGCCGAATATCAATGCTGGGACGTCTAAATTACTAAAAATGAAAGTCTTAATTTGAAGAAACACACCTTGCGTTATTTATCGACGAGTCAAACAAAAATATTTCATAAGCAGCTTTTGGAACATCGATCTAGTTCCCCAAGACTCCTTCAAAAAATAATCTTTACGAAAGATGCTGAGAATTTTTCTGTATAACTACGTTCTCCGATGTTGACTATTGAATGGCGAAAACCGAAAGTCTCGCGCTTCTTTTTAACAAAATTATTCAGAAAACAGGGATGGGCTTTCTAGTTCAAAATGCATAGTAAAAGATATTATAAGCAAGGAGGCATCCCAGCCAATTTTTTCGTTGCTTGAACTTATACTTTTCAGAAAAAAATTGTTAAGTTTTTCCCCTAGAAAAAGAATTTTGAACAGTTTTTATAAGTTTCTGATAAGATTCTTATATAAGATGTTGCACGGAAGTGACAAGAAATTCACTGGTTCTGATAAGATTCTTATAAGAAACTTATAAGATATTC